GTGCTCGCTTTATAAGTGTTTTCGGGCATGCCCTATTTCATTTTTACCAGCACTCTCCTCTTAGGTAACACCAAAGCGCTCTCCCATCTTTAAATACATCTCAAACAAATCTTCAGAAAAATGGTATAAAAACCGAGGGATATCGCTTAGGAATTTTTCAGGCATATTGCATATGAGGGGAAATATTTGATGGATTATATGAAAAGCCAGAACTGAGAAATTCACTTATTAAGAAAGCACTGATGTAGTACCTAGATCTTACCGTGTAACTGTAACCTAAATGGCCGTGAAAGGTCTAGGTACGACGAGACTAGGAAAGTACCTATATTTGAGTTCAGCCCATCATTTAGGAACAGTGGTACATTTTATGATCAGAGTAAATAGAGAACTGTTTTTCATGAATTGTTGAGCATGATATACAAGAACTTAGACTTTTAAGAGGTAGTTTTAAACAGAACTCCTCCGTGTGCTTCGTAACTTATTGGAAAACATACGCACTACAAGTGTTTATACTTGTTTTATGATTGCTAGTAGGTTTTTATGCAAGATATAGATAGAAAAACCTGTCATCAGGATAAAATTCAGCTCGAAAACCTGTCTTGTTACTAACCTACAGGTATTGTGTCTATGCATTCCGGTGCACAATGGGGCTTGGAACTGCCTAATGATACAATCGATATTGGAGACAATGAGTGCAGGAATATCGAATGGTAATAGATAAATTCGGCCCTGGACGAGCCCATTTAACTATCAACATCAGTTCTCGGTAGACATTTGAATATATACATCGTTTGACTCGGCCTGGTGAATGAAAACCGCGTTAAGGGGCTTTACCAGAAAATTGAAGCATAGCCAACTGACTAATATTATATATTTCCTAAAGCTATCGACCATTGAGTGCGAAAAATATCAAAGTGGTGCCGTTGTCGTTGCTATTATCATCTTCAGGTGCACATTCTAAAACGGTCACTGGAGTCGCGTCTATTTATTTTGGTCAGGCGTATGGTTTTCTGCGATAATAGTTGCATTGATTTATACCTAAGGAACATAGGTATGCTCCAGGCTTCGCTCGATGAATCTGGGTTTTAGAGCATTATAATTTACACGGCTAAATGTTCTTTGTGAACCATTTCGCTGTAATTTTTCTACAATAATAGAGAGCACTCTACACTAAGAACAGTTCCTCCTTTTCGGCGAAGTCTTTCGCGTGAGTTAAAAAAATCAATAAAGAAAATTATGTCAACTTTTCGTGCGCCCACACCCAGAGTTTCGCGCAACGAACTTCGCCGAAAGTTAAAGGAGGATTTCTCGTAGCCTAAGAGTGCTCCTAAAGAGGAATGTTTTCTGTGACTGTGGTTGATGTTCTGACAACCTGAGCAAAAGTTATCATCAGATAACAAGTGATGTCATTTCTTACCTACGCCGAGACGTAGTTGTTGACTGTTTCCTTGATCAAATCCGCCTCCTTCAATTGCATCTTGGTCCTGAAAAACCAATGTTACTCAAGCTCGTCTGTGGATATCATAGTGACTATTCGATTTCGAGTATCCTACGCTCTTCATAGAGATTTGGAGCCTTGGAGAGAATACTTGGCGCAAATATAGTTAAGTGTACGAGTTTATACATATACAGGTGAATGTGTCTACATTTGTACTAATGAAAACGACTTTTTAACAACTCATTAGCTATTTCAGCTATCACCACTCATATCAAAACTCAGGCGATTGAACCCCTTTCACTCCCAAGTTCTCGTTAGCAATTCTCTTCTCTGTCTTCCATACAATTCTTACGATGTTGCTTCGAAGAATTTGGTATTGGATCAACTAACTCAAATTTTCGTTATTCTCTCCACTTGTCTACTTGAAATTATATCAAAGGAGAAATTGTCTCGGTAACTCATCGTGGGAGTTTAAGGGTTAACAGGTATCACTTTTACTACGAGAACTTCGTAATTCGTTTTGAAAATTTTTCGGCAATAGCTGCATAGAATAAAAGCGTTGATTTATCTGGGTGAAGCAAACGGCTGTTCTTCGTCTGTTCTTTTAATTTTCTGCTAATTTTTTTTTTAATGATGTACACCTTACCAGAGCTATCCTGGCTTCGACAGCATATCTCGCCCATGGAACTGAAACCAAACAATTAACATTGGGTCT